TTCGATTTGCAATTTCTCGTTTCGGGTTTTTTTATTTTTACAATTTTTCGATTTTTCAGTGTTCCGAGATTATAATTTTTTGTTTTTTCAAATTTTTTTTGTTTCTTTAGTTTTACGATATAAAACTCATCGAGTTTCATTTTTAAACTTTCAGTTTTTCGAGTTTTCAATTTTTGGACGTTTCGATTTTTTATTTGTTTTTTATTGTTTCGAGTCTTCAGTTTCGATTTTCAATTTTTCGGTTTTGAAATTCTTAGATTTTTAATTGATCGTTTTTTTTATTTTTCAGCTTTTCACCTCTCGATGCTTAGCTTTTCGCTTCTTGAATTTTCGACTTTTCAGTTTTTCGATAATCCAACTTTTGGATTTTACGGTGTTCGGTTATTCTTAATGTTTATTCAGTGCCCGACTTGCAATTTTTGACGTCCCTGAATATTTTCATAATTTTATGACAATTTTCTTAAAATTGAAAATTTTTAATGGTCCCCCCTTATTCAAATTTCGGAAAAATTTTGACATTTTCGAAACTTAACTAAGCACATTTTTTTGAAGATTTCTAGATGTGGAACTCAAATCCGGTCTCGTTTCTTTGATAACTGCAACCGTTTTTCCAGAATCGACCGTTGAAATTTTGAAATTTTTGAAATTCTCAAAAATTCGAATGTCGTACCGATTTTTTCGAAAATGTTGCTTCCTGATCATCAACATGCTATATTTTTAAAATCAGCGTGTTGAGATCTACGTCCTTGGATTTTTTCATAATTTTTAGACAACTTTTTTAAAATTGAAATTTTTTAATGGTCCCCCCTTCTTCAAATTTCGGAAAAATTTTGACATTTTCGAAACTTAACTAAACACATTTTGTTGTAGACTTCGAGCTCTAGAACTCAAATCCGGTCTCGGTTCTTTGACAACTGCAACCGTTTTTTCAGAATCGACCGTTGAAACATCGAAATTTTTGAAATTTTCAAAAATTCGCATTTCGTACGGATTTTTTCGAAAATGTTGCTTCGTGACCATCAACATGCTATATTTTTGGAATCAGCGTGTCGAGATCTACGTCCCTGATTTTTTTCATAATTTTTATACAACTTTTTTAAAATTGAAATTTTTTAATGGTCCCCCCTTATTCAAATTTCGCAAAAATTTTGACATTTTCGAAACTTAACTAAACACATTTTGTTCTGGACTTCGAGCTCTAGAGCTCAAATCCGGTATCGGTTCCTTGATAACTCCAACCGTTTTTCCAGAATCGACAGTTGAAATATCGAAATTTTTGAAATCTTCAAAAATTCGAATGTCGTACCGATTTTTTTGAAAATGTTGCTTCTTGATCATCAACATGCTATATTTTTGGAATCAGCGTGTTGAGATCTACGTCCTTGGGTTTTTTCATAATTTTTAGACAACTTTTTTAAAATTGAAATTTTTTAATGGTCCCCCCTTCTTCAAATTTTGGAAAAATTTTGACATTTTCGAAACTTAACTAAACACATTTTGTTGTGGACTTCGAGCTCTAGAGCTCAAATCCGGTCTCGGTTCTTTGATAACTCCAACCGTTTTTCCAGAATCGACAGTTGAAATATCGAAATTTTTGAAATCTTCAAAAATTCGAATGTCGTACCGATTTTTTCGAAAATGTTGCTTCCTGATCATCAACATGCTATATTTTTGGAATCAGCGTATGAAGATCTACATCTTTGGATTTTTTCATAATTTTTAGACAATTTTTTTAAAATTGAAATTTTTTAATGGTCCCCCCTTATTCAAATTTCGGAAAAATTTTGACATTTTCGAAACTTAACTAAACGCATTGTTTTGTAGACTTCGGGCTCTAGAATTCAAATTCAGTCTCGGTTCTTTGATAACTCCATCCGTTTTTCCAGAATCGACAGTTGAAATATCGAAATTTTTGAAATCTTCAAAAATTCGAATGTCGTACCGATTTTTTCGAAAATGTTGTTTCCTGATCATCAACATGCTATATTTTTGAAATCAGCGAGTTGAGATCTACGTCCTTGGATTTTTTCATAATTTTTAAACAACTTTTTTAAAATTGAAATTTTTTAATGGTCCCCCCTTCCTCAAATTTCGGAAAAATTTTTACATTTTCGAAACTTAACTAAACGCATTTTTTTGTAGACTTCGAGCTCTAGAACACAAATCCGGTCTCGGTTCTTTGACAACTGCAACCGTTTTTTCAGAATCGACCGTTGAAATATCGAAATTTTTGAAATCTTCAAAAATTCGAATGTCGTACCGATTTTTTCGAAAATGTTGCTTCCTGACCATCAACATGCTATATTTTTGGAATCAGCGTGTCGAGATCTACGTCCCTGATTTTTTTCATAATTTTTATACAATTTTTTTAAAATTGAAATTTTTTAATGGTCCCCCCTTATTCAAATTTCGCAAAAATTTTGACATTTTCGAAACTTAACTAAACACATTTTGTTCTGGACTTCGAGCTCTAGAGCTCAAATCCGGTGTCGGTTCCTTGATAACTCCAACCGTTTTTCCAGAATCGACAGTTGAAATATCGAAATTTTTGAAATCTTCAAAAATTCGAATGTCGTACCGATTTTTTTGAAAATGTTGCTTCCTGACCATCAACATGCTATATTTTTGGAATCAGCGTGTTGAGATCTACGTCCTTGGGTTTTTTCATAATTTTTAGACAACTTTTTTAAAATTGAAATTTTTTAATGGTCCCCCCTTCTTCAAATTTTGGACAAATTTTGACATTTTCGAAACTTAACTAAACACATTTTGTTGTGGACTTCGAGCTCTAGAGCTCAAATCCGGTCTCGGTTCTTTGATAACTCCAACCGTTTTTCCAGAATCGACAGTTGAAATATCGAAATTTTTGAAAGCTTCAAAAATTCGAATGTCGTACCGATTTTTTCGAAAATGTCGCTTCGTTACCATCAACATGCTATATTTTTGGAATCAGCGTGTTGAGATCTACGTCCTTGGATTTTTTCATAATTTTTAGACAACTTTTATAAAATTGAAATTTTTTAATGGTCCCCCCTTCCTCAAATTTCGGAAAAATTTTGACATTTTCGAAACTTAACTAAACGAATTTTTTTGTAGACTTCGAGCTCTAGAACTCAAATCCGGTCTCGGTTCTTTGACAACTGCAACCGTTTTTTCAGAATCGACCGTTGAAATATCGAAATTTTTTAAATTTTCAAAAATTCGCATTTCGTACGGATTTTTTCGAAAATGTTGCTTCCTGACCATCAACATGCTATATTTTTGGAATCAGCGTGTTGAGATCTCCGTCCTTGGATTTTTTCATAATTTTTAGACAACTTTTTTTAAATTGAAATTTTTTAATGGTCCCCCCTTCTTCAAATTTCGGAAAAATTTTGACATTTTCGAAAGATAACTAAAAACATTTTGTTGTAGACTTCGAGCTCTAGAGCTCAAATCCGGTCTCGGTTCTTTGATAACTCCAACCGTTTTTCCAGAATCGACAGTTGAAATATCGAAATTTTTGAAATCTTCAAAAATTCGAATGTCGTACCGATTTTTTCGAAAATGTTGCTTCCTGACCATCAACATGCTATATTTTTGGAATCAGCGTGTTGAGATCTCCGTCCTTGGATTTTTTCATAATTTTTAGACAACTTTTTTTAAATTGAAATTTTTTAGTGGTCCCCCCTTCTTCAAATTTCGGAAAAATTTTGACATTTTCGAAAGATAACTAAAAACATTTTGTTGTAGACTTCGAGCTCTAGAGCTCAAATCCGGTCTCGGTTCTTTGATAACTCCAACCGTTTTTCCAGAATCGACAGTTGAAATATCGAAATTTTTGAAATTTTCAAAAATTCGCATTTCGTACGGATTTTTTCGAAAATGTTGCTTCGTGACCATCAACATGCTATATTTTTGGAATCGGCGTGTTGCGATCTACGTCCTTGGATATTTTCATAATTTTTAGACAACTTTTTTTAAATTGAAATTTTTTAATGGTCCCCCTTCTTCAAATTTCGGAAAAATTTTGACATTTTCGAAACTTAACTAAACACATTTTGTTGTAGACTTCGAGCTCTAGAGCTCAAATCCGGTGTAGGTTCCTTGATAACTCCAACCGTTTTTCCAGAATCGACAGTTGAGATATCGAAATTTTTGAAATCTTCAAAAATTCGAATGTCGTACCGATTTTTTCGAAAATGTTGCTTCCTGACCATCAACATGCTATATTTTTGGAATCGGCGTGTTGAGATCTAACTCCCTGGATTTTTTCATAATTTTTAGACAACTTTTTTAAAATTGAAATTTTTCAATGGTCCCCCCTTATTCAAATTTCGGGAAAATTTTCACATTTTCGAAACTTAACGAAACACATTTTGTTGTAGACTTCGAGCTCTAGAGCTCAAATCCGGTCTCGGTTCTTTGATAACTCCATCCGTTTTTCCAGAATCGACAGTTGAAATATCGAAATTTTTGAAATCTTCAAAAATTCGAATGTCGTACCGATTTTTTCGAAAATGTCGCTTCGTGACCATCAACATCATATATTTTTGGAATCAGCGAGTTGATTTACGTCCCTGAATTTTTTCATAGTGTGTGGACAACTTTTTTAAAAGTGAAATTTTTCCCAATGGTCCCCCCTTCTTCAAATTTCGGCCAATGTTTCTTCGATAATTGCAACCGTTCTGAATTACAAAATCAGCATTGCAGTAACATTATTATTGGGACATAAAATACTCTGTGAAACATCGCCAGTCCTAATAATTTCCAATCATAGGAATTCTCGTTTTTTAATGTCAATGATTTCGCGTAGAGAGCGTTTTTCTAACCTCAAATATTTCTTGTTTTGATTTTTTGTTTTGATTGAGTGCGACGTATTTATTCGCCCAGGGTGAGAAAAATACGTACTTTTGCATAATAGGAATGTGCTTAACGACTTAGAAAATACAGGATTGTTCTTGGAATATTCAAAGTGGGTTCCAGTTAGATTTTCCAACGATTGCAAAATTTGCCAATACATGGAAAACCACATCAAACGCCAGTGCTCATCCTTAATGCCTTTTAATTGTGGGAAAGCCAATATTGAAATTTATTACTGCCGAGACTGTAAATTCGAAAGCGAGCTAAGACTCCTCTTGAAGACACACATTGAAAAATATCATGTTAAAGCCGAACCCCAGGAGGACTACACCATCCAAACGTACTTTTGCAAAAGGTGTAACTTCGAGACACACTTTTCCATGAAGTGGCTTCAACACATAAATAAATGTATGGGAAAAATCGGACACATAACCATTTATGAATGTAAAGAGTGCCCATTTAAAGCTAAGTACCGATCTACGTTGCAACGTCACGTATTAATACACCACTTAGATGAACAAAGCATCACCTGGCATGAGTGTAAAGAGTGCCAGTATAAAACTAAATACAAACTACATTTAAGCCGACACATAACTTCCCAGCACTCGGATGAACAAAGCATTAAATGGTACCAGTGCCAGAATTGCTCATTCAGAACTAAATACGAACAGTCGTACTACAGACACCGAAGTGTGTTCCATTTAGCCGACCACCATATTAAATGGTACGAGTGCAAACAGTGCCCCTTTAAAGCACGACACAAAGTCAACCTAAAAACTCACGTAAACGCGCACCATTCAAACGAACAGGATATTAAATGGTACGAGTGTAAACAGTGCCCTTTTAAAACTAAACTAAGTGCCACTTTAAAATACCACATACTCTCGCAGCATTTGGACGAACGGGACATTAAATGGTACGAGTGTAAAGAGTGCCCATACAGAGCTAAACAAAAAGCAGCTTTAAAGAATCACGTAGTTGCACGACACTTGAACGAGCAGGATATTAAATGGTATGAATGTGAAAAGTGCCCGTTCAGGGCTAAACAGAAAGGGAATTTAAAGCAGCACGTGAATGCGCACCATTTGGATAAAGAGGAGATTAAGTGGTACGAGTGCAACAAGTGTCCTTACAAAGCCAAATTAAAAAGGACGTTGAAAAGTCACGTGGATGCGTGCCATTTGGACGAGCGAGATATAAAGTGGTACGAATGTACAATGTGCCCTTTTAAAAGTAAACGGAATTTTAATTTGAAAAGTCACATAAATACGCACCACTTGGACGAAAACGAGATTACGTGGTATGAGTGTGAAAAGTGTTTATACAAAACTAAACATCGGTATAATTTGAAGTCGCATAAGTGTGGAGTGGTGAAGTGATCAGGGTGTGGGTTGGTGGAAAAATGGCCATAGAAATTCCAGCCAGTCAACAAGACTTGTGAACGTTTGAAATTAACAGTATTACTAGCGTTACTAATTATTATTAAAAGTTTTCGTTGTGTGCTATTTTATTAATTAGTACATAGAAATTTATTTATAATATTTTAGGTCTTTTTTTATTGTCGTAAGGCAAGAAATAAAAGCGTCAAATTCAAAGATTTTCTATTTTAGAGAGTAAGATTGTTTGCAAGAAAAAAATTAAGTTACAGATTTACTTGTAATTAAAATGTTATACAACAACTGAAATTATACATTTTTTTTGTAGATACATACATATTTTAATATTCACATTTTTTCAATTTGTGGATTTCTCAGTTTCCAGATTTACAATTTTTCGACTTGTAATTAAAAAGCGAAAAATTGAAAAATCGAATCATTTTAAAATAATTGTAAAATCAAAAAATTGCAACACTGAAAAACGAAAAATTCAAAAATTGCAAAATCGAAAATCCGAACTACCAAAAAAAAAAAATTGAAAAATTGAAAATACGAAAATTCGACAACACAAAAAATTAAAAACACAAAAAATTATAAAACCAAAACATCAAAAAATAGAAAATTGAAAAAAAAAAACGACAATGGACAATGAAAAATCATGAATTTGAAAAATCGAAAAATTAAAACTGTGAAACTAAAAAGTCGAAAATATAAAAAATCAAAAAAATAAAAAACTGAAAAACTGCAAAATTGTGAAATTGAAAAGACGAAAAAATGAAAAATTTCCTACAACGAAAACTTGAAAATTTAAAAGAGAACTCGAACAAATGAAATGAAAAGCCGAAAAATTAAAAACCTACAAACTGAAAACCAGAAAATGGAAAAATGAAAAAACCTTCAAATCGTAAAATCAAAATTTCTGTATTGAAAAATTTTGTTTTTTCAAAAAGAATTTAAAAACTACAAAATTGAAAAACCGAAAAATGGTGAAATCTAAAAATTGAAATTCGAGAAACTAAAAAACTGACACGAAAAATTGAAAAGTTGATAATTCTAAATTCGAAAAATTGAAAAATCAAAATCAAAAAAATTTAAAGCTTGAATGCGAAAGTTTGTAAAGTCGGAAAATTAAAAACACGAAAAATTAAAATTGAGAAACTGAAAAGTCGAAAAAGTGAAAAATCTAAAAATTGAAATCGAAAAACTGAAATCCAAAAACACAAGTCGAAAAAGTGAAATCGAGAAACCGAAGTTGAGAAACTGAAGTCAAGAAATTGAAGTCGAGAAACTGAAGTCTAAAAATTAAAAATTTAAAAACTGAAACAATAAAATGAAAACATGAAATACATATTAAAATATCTAGAGCTTGAAAAATTTAAAAATTAAGAGAAAAAAATGAAAATATCCAAAACTTGTAAAATTAGAAATTTCTAAATTGAAGAACAATAAATTCAAAAGTTTCAAATTGAAAAAACAAAAAACTGTGAATCAAAAAATTGAAAAATTCAAAATTTAAATCGAAAATTTGAAAATTTAAAATTGAAAGTGGAATACATATAGGATATCTAGAAATTAAAAAAAAATTAAAATATAAAATTTGGAAAACGAATTATAAAATCATAACATTGAAAAATTGAAAAACGACAAACTGAAATATTGCAAAATTCAAAACTTCAAAAAATGAAAAATTCAAATTTTAAAATTGAAAACTCGAAAAAATATAACGAAAAATTGAAAAATTTCTGAAATCAAAAAACTGAAAAATCGAAAAATGAAAAATCTAGAAAATGAAATAAATTTGAAAATGCGAAAAATTCGAATATTTAGAAATTTTTGACGTAAATCAAATGTCACTGTCAATCATGTCAGTTTTGACAACAGTAAGTAACCTGGAGTGACAGGTGTACCAATTTCAAGCAAAATTCATTCATACCAACTGAAACAGTACTTGTTGACCACGGTGTATTTGTCACCACACTGACCCAAAAAAGCACTGTATATTGTACAAGTTTTGTGTCTTTTGTCTCAATAAAAATCCTGAATTTGTATTTTTTCTAGACGTTGTATCATTATTTTCAAAATTTATAGACACCAGCGAGTAATAGTAAACTGCCTGACTGTTTTTTGACAAACATATTTACCATATGAAGGCCATGAAATTTACTTTTAAACAACAAAAAAAAAGATGAGCGATAACTTTACGATAATCTTAAAATATTGGCAAAATTTCAGAGCAGTCGGTTTTGTAGTTTTTAACTTAAATTGCGAAATGTTTTACAATATTGATTTTTCCAAAAATCTAGATGTTTGAGATAATAAAAAGAAATTAATAAACTATATAAAAAACACATTAAAATTTAAGTTGGATTGATTTTGCAAAATTTTGAAATTACACTGTTAATAAAATACACTGGAGAGTCCAACGTTATCACATCAAAGAGAAAATGTCGACGAGTTTCAATGTTGTCGGTTATTCCTTCTCTTGAGCCCCTGATTACGTTACGCCACTGGCACAAGTGACAACGGAAGTGGCTGTCTCACTGTGTACACTGGAAGTTGAGAAGAATCCCCAACAATGATTCATCATTGCACCATAAATTTTCTATTTACTTTACCAAATATTAAAAAATGGTAAAAAGTTTATCAAAATTATAAACTGTTCTTAAAAACATGTTGACGCGGTAAAAAGTTTGAACTGACAAGTCAAAAGCAGTACCAACTTCCGTCTGAATCACAGCGAAAAGTCACCCAAGCGAGTAACTTTTAAGTTCGGTCGTCATGAAAATTAGTAATAAAATCTTCTTTAGTCGTCGTTGTTTAAAGAATTTGATTACGTGCCCCGCAACCCCCGAATTCTTCACTGTCCAATTGTTAAAAGACTCTCCATTGACTCACCACGTCTGCCTAAAACATGGCCGCCGCGTTTTCGTAATTTTGACATCGTGACGGGTCAAGTAATTTCAAATAATTTTCTATTTTCTTGAAATAATTTGTTATAATTTCTTAGCAATCTCAGCCAAGCCAGGTAATTTGCGAAAAAAGTGAAATAGTAAAGTGACACCCCTTCAAAAACCGTCCTTTCAAGGTTCGCCCAATTATCAGTTCCTGCATAGACACTCCGCATTAGTCACTAATTACATCGAATAATTCCATGTTCACACCACCATCGCACTCCCCGAACCACCGCCCGCCTCCCACTTTCCCCTACCTTCTTTGTTTGACAATTGTTATTGTTTACAGCCAAAAAATGTCAGCTGGACCTTACAACTACTCCTACATTTTCAAGTACATAATAATCGGAGACATGGGGGTGGGCAAGTCCTGCCTCCTCCACCAGTTCACCGAGAAGAAGTGTAAGTTCTCGCCCCCAAAACCCCCTCGAAGCTCACTCGTTTGTTGTAGTCATGGCCGATTGCCCCCACACGATCGGAGTGGAGTTCGGCACTCGCATCATCGAAGTGTCCGGCCAGAAAATCAAACTGCAGATCTGGGACACCGCGGGGCAGGAGCGGTTTAGGGCGGTAACGCGGTCGTACTATCGGGGGGCTGCCGGGGCGCTCATGGTCTACGACATCACGCGCCGGTCCACCTACAACCACCTGAGCAGCTGGCTGACAGACACGAGGAATCTGACTAATCCTAGTACGGTTATTTTCCTTATCGGGAATAAGTGTGATTTAGAGGGACAGAGGGATGTTACTTATGAGGAGGCTAGCAAGTTTGCGGAAGAGAACGGGCTGATGTTTGTGGAGGCCAGCGCTAAAACGTAAGTAAATGAAGGATGGGTTGGAATTCTGTTGAGCGTAATCATGGGTGAAGGGTTTTCAATGATTTGCATGACTGATATGGTCGATGTGTTTATATTTTTAATTTGTGTCGTGGCATTGCCTGGAATATTAGTAGATTAAAATGAGCATATTGCGGTTGTAAAGTAGTTGTTGTGCTCGTTTTATGTACGTTGTGTAATTGTAAACAATATTTAATGTTTTGTTGATTCATGGCAGTGTTTACAGTTACTAGTAGACTGTGTGTCTGACTTCCTTTGGATTTAACATTTTTTTGTCATTTGTATCAGTGTACATAGCACATATTAAAATAAGTATTCAAAGATTCAAGAATCAAGTGGAGCTAGCGTGGATTTTCTTTTCACTAATTAAAAGACGAGGACATTAAAAATAGGCAATTAAATTCAATTTAACGGACCACAATTGAAATGATTGAATGGAAATCGATAAATTATTAAAATCGTACCGTTAAATTGAGAAAATATAGCGACAATTGGGTGTCGCAGTAAAACATGTTGACAAAAAAAAAATATTTTTTTTAAATAAAATCCGAGCTCTAGTAATTATTGATCTCGTTTTTATATTTAGAAAAATGCGTAATAACTGATTAGATGTGCGTCTTTGAATATGGTAGGGATAACAAATATTGATTCGGTGAATCGTTGCAAATACGGTGACTATTAATGATTGAAGCAAATTTTTATGTTGGTAATTCTGAATTATTGGCAGCTGAATGTCAGTTCACAGTTGTTAATTTTGACGTGTTGGGAAGATGGCACTACTGACGTGGTGTCATAAATGTCTAAGTCAGATGTGCCCAGTTTCAACATATTTTTAGAGGAAAATGGTTCAGCTGATGAGAAAATGAATGTCTTGTTTAGTTTTTCATTTCTATCGAAAAAAAAGTTGTCTAGTTGGCCATGAAATTTATTTCGACAGTTATTTGACCGCAGCTGTCAAACTGAACAAGGAACGTGTTGCTTACATTGACACTTATTGTCAACCTTCTAACCTCATTTAACCTTCCCCCATCTTTTCCTTGAAGTTCGAAAAATTACCTCACACCCAAAGTTTACACTGGAGACTGTCAAGCTTGGGAACAGGTCGCCAGTTTTGATTTTCGGAAGTGTTGCCAACCCCAGAAAATCACTACTTTTAGAAGAAAACGTCAAGTTTAACGTTTAATTTTATTTGGGTTTTCCCAACGATTTTTTTTCAATTTTGAATCATTTGTAATTTTTGAATTTATTATTTTTCAATTTATCGATTTGTCAAATTTTCGATTATTAATATTTTTTTTTGGAATTTTTGTGTTTTAAAATTTTCTGTTTTACAGTTTCTAGACTTTTAATTTTTTGACTTTTCATTTCAATTTTTCGAGCTCTCTTTTAAATTTTCAAGTTCTCGATTCTGAGCTTTTGAATTTTTTTATTTTTGTTTGTTCAATTTTACAATTTTGTAATTTTAAAATTTTTTATTTTGGCTTTTCAATTTTTAGTTTTTGAATTTTTCGTTTCTTCATTTTTGTTTTTTCAGTTTTTGATTTTTCATTTTCTCGATTTTCCAATTTTTAGATCTTAATTTTTCAATTTTGCTCTTTTTCGAATTTGAAATTATGTATTTAACTTTTCAATTTTTTCATGATTTCAGTTTTTCGATTTTTTAGTTTTAAATGTTCAAATTTTCGATTTCACAATTTTTCGTTTCCTCGATTTTGCAATTTTTTCGATTTACCCGTGTGACAATTTTTAGGTATTTTAATTTTTCGTATTTTCAATTTATCAATTTGTCAATTTTTCCATTATTAATTTCTCTTTTTTAATTTTTCGTTTTCTTAATTTTTCTGTTTTAGAGTTTCTAGATTTTTAATTTTTCGACTTTTCTTTTCAATTTTTTTAACTCTCTTTTAAATCTTCAAGTTTCCGATTTTTAACTTTTAAATTTTTCGATGTTTAGTTTTTTGAATTTTTCGATTTTTGGTTTTTATTTTTCATTTCCTTGATTTTTCAATTGCTAGATACATATCTTAATTTTTCGTGTTTTCAATTTTTCCATTCTTGAGTTTGTAGATTTTTTATTTTTCGCTTTTCTCAATGTGGCAATTTTAATTTTTTTTTTTTTGTTTTTCAATTAGGCAATTTTTTGATTTCGCAATTTTAAGTTTTCGATTTTTCCATGTAATAATTTTTAGATATTTAAATTTATGGCATTTTCATTTTATTCGTTTTTCAAATTTTAGGTTTTTAATTTCTCTTTTTTAAATTTTTCAATTTTTTATTTTTATATTTTAAAATTTTCACTTCCTAGATGCATATTTTACTTTTTCGTGTTTTCAATTTTTCTTTTTTTCAGTTCCTAGATTTTTAATTTTTCGACCTTTTTTTTTCGAGTTCTCTTTTAAATTGTCAATTTTTCGGTTGTTCAGTTTTACTTTTTTGAATTTTTGGTTTATTCAATTTTGTTTTTTCAGTTTTTGATTCTTCAATTTCTCAATTTGTGAATTTGTAGATTTTTCAATTTCTAGAAACATACACATCTTGATTTTTTGTGTTTTCAGTTTTTTTGTTTGTAGATTTTTAATTTTTTAACTTCTTTCTATTTTTCAAGTCATTTTCAATTTCAAAATTTTTTTTTTCAATTTTGTAATTTTTGAATTTATTGCTTTTCAATTTAGAAATTTTTGATTTTACAATTTGAAATGTTTTCGATTTTTAGATACTTTAATTTTTCGTATTTTCGTTTTATCGATTTGTCAAATTTTCGATTATTAATTCCTTTTCTTTTTAATTTTTAGCTTTTTCAATGTCTCTTCTTTTAATTTTTCGACCTTCATTTAATTTTTTCGAGTTTTAAACTATCATGTCTTCGGTTTTGAAGTTTAGAATTTTTCAAGTTTTAGTTTGTTCGGTGTTACGATTTTGCCATTTTTAAATTTGTTTTTTTACTTTTCATATCCTCTATTTTTGAATTTGTAGATTTTTCAATTTCTAGATACATATTTTAATATTGACGTCACCAACGTAATGAAAGGAATGAATAAATAAATTGTAATTTGTCTTCATTAAAGCAATTCGTGGTGCATTTAGGTCCGCTAAAATTTGCCGAGTAATCAGTAATCAGTTTTAGGAAAAGCTGAGAAAAAACAAAATCATCGGTGCGGTTTCCGCTGAGTGTACGTTTCGTGGAAACGCGCGACGAAGTGGTTTAATGGAGTTGTTTGTCTCTTTTCAGAGGCGACAACGTCGAAGAAGCATTCCTTGAAACGGCCAAGAAAATCTACCAAAGCATCCAGGATGGTCGGCTCGACTTGAACGCAGCGGAATCCGGTGTACAACACAAGCCTTCACAACCGGGTCGTAACAATCTCAGCAACGACCAACAAGCGAATAAAGATAATTGCGCCTGCTAGTTATTTTACCCCGGTCGGGTACAATTTTCAAAAGATTTTTTCAACCTTTTAGGAATAATTTTATTTTTAATACTTTTGTGAAGTCTCACATACTATAGTCCGAAATAATTTATTATTCTTAAAATAATAATTATCGCGATTATTTAAGTTAAAGTAAAGCACATATTAAAAGGATATGAAAATGAACGTTTGTATCAAGTGGATGTAGCTTTAGTATTTTTCTTTGTCTTTTTTTTTATGACACATCAACACTGGTTTTGTTATGTAACGGTAAGAATAAGAAGCGAAATATTGCGGGAATTAGTCACTTAGTCAGGCACGGTTATGTAATAAAGATATACGACAGAAATGTTGTTAAACTGTAGATTAAAAAATTAAAGATGTATTTCTAAGCAGTGTTGTCATCTTTATGGACGAAGAAGTTCTAATAAAAAGTTGGATTCCGCTCCCTAGTATGTATACAGCGTAGATCTTTGTGTTTATGATAATAGCAAATAATTTTGTTTTTTTTTTTTTATATACTCTCTGTGGGGGGAAAAAGATCGAGTTACGGCGTAACTTTATTTTTTCAACAATATTGAAAATGTTTGCTTCTTCTCACTATTTTAAAGATGATGATTCCAAATTGTTGCAACGTTATTTTTTAGTGATGTATCTTTGTATGTGATGTATTTATTAATGAAACATATATATATAAAAAATAATATAGATATAAGTTGATGCATTTTGTATTATTTTAATGTTATGTATTAATAATACAATTTTCTCTTATGTTTTATGTGATTTGTTACGGAAATTGCGTCCCCAAGTAACTTTTGTTATCTGATTTTTTTAAATACATGCTACAAGTTGGATTTTATTTGTGTGTGAATATTTTGCTTTTCGCTGTACACGAACCCGGCGCTTCCACCTTTTCATTTTTAATTTATATTTAGTCATTTAGATAAAAAATAATTAGGTTCCGTGTTGTCGACATACATGTCTTTAATGAAATCATTTTTAAATTGCAGTTACAATGAAGGAGGTGAAATAAGACAACGTTCCAAAGTAAAAATAAGTTGTTGAGTATTTGTATTATGAAAATGATTTATATTAATGCACAGCAAATTTGTAATCAGTAAGTGATTAAAAATGTTTTTGAATTATCTTTGTATTGCACGAAATAACGATCACTTGCGTCATTATCATTATCCATTGTTTGTGCTAAGTATATTTTAAATCACAATGGTGGAGAAATGAGAAAGGATGCCTAAGGATAATAATGTGTGTTACATATAACTTTTTGCAATTTAAAAAAGGATGATTTTCGTTTTTTCGCATGAATACACCATTTATTATCAATTTCTCGATTTTCCAATTTTTTTATTTTATTTTCTACTTTTCGATGTTTCAGTGTTATCATTTTTCGATTTTCCAATTTTTAATTTTTTCGATTTTCCAATTTTTTGTTGCATTAATTTTGTGATTTTTATTTTTTTCATTTTTCAATTTCTCGATTTTAATTTTCCAATTGTTCGATGTTTTGGTGTTAAAATTCTTCGTTTTTTCAATTTCTGGAAATTTTAATTTTTCCTTTTTTAGGTTTCCAATTTCTCGATTTTTGTTCTTTCAATTTTCCCCTTAATTTTTTTCTAATTTAATTTAATTTGGAAAAATTAGTTTGCTGAAACATCGAACCAACGAATTTTTTTTTAATTTCTCAATATATATATATTTTTTTAAAATTCTTGATTTTTAATTTGTCAATTTCTAGATTCTAATTTTCCAATTTTTGTATGTCAGACTGGCGACAGCTTTTTAATTTTACTATTTCTCACTTTTTCAAATTATCTCAATTATTCCATTTTTCCATTTTTTTTGCAGTTTTTCTGCTTACAATTTTTCGAGTTTTCAAAAGTTCCGGTGATTCCAGAAAATCTAAAAATTCCGGATAGTAAGAGACTTTAGATATACGTACCAGCAATTCCGGATATTCTGGTATTCTAGAGATTCCAGAGATTCTGAAAATCTCAAAACGTGAAGATTTCAAAAAATTTGCACACTTTGAATTTTACGAAGATTCTGAAGAATATAAAAAGGTTCCAAGGATTTCGAAGCCTCCAGAAATTCTAGGAATTATAAAAATTCGAAATATTTTGAAGACTCTGAAAATTGCAAAAGATTCTGACATGAAGACTGAAGGTTCCCGAGATTCTAAAGATTATAAAGATTCCAAAAAGTCCAATAATTTCGGATATTCCGAGACTAGAGATTTCAGAGATTCAAAAGGCTCTGAAGTTTCTAAAAATCTGAATATTCTGAAGATTTCGAAGATTCTAAAAGTCCAAAATATTCTGAAGATTATGACTGCGAAAAAAATCTGAAACATTGAAAATTCCACAGCTTCCGGAAATTCCCAAATTTCTTAATATGCCGAGATTCTATAAATTCCAAAGGTTCCGAGATTCCAGAGATTCTAAAGATTCTAAAAATTTCGAAGATTATGGGTTCGAGGAATCCGAAGATTTCAGAAAGATTCCGGAAATTTTAAAGATTCTAACATTCTGAAGATCCTCAAGATTCTGAAGGTTCAGAGGATTCTGGAGATTTTGAAGAGCCCGAGGATTTTGAAGACTGAGGATTCCAAAAAATTTGAAAATTTTGAAGATTTCGTGGATTCAACGGTTAGAGAAATTCCAAAAATTCCCGATATTCCGAGAAGAGAAATTCTAGAGATTGTCAAGATTCAAAAGATTGTGGAGATTCTAAACATTCTGAATGAGGACAGTGGAAATTCTGAAGATTCTGAACAAAGATATTGAAGTTTCCAAAGATTCAAAAAATTCTGAAGATTCAGAAAATACTGAAAATTATACTGATTCCAAAGTTTCCAGAGAGAAAGATTCTGAATATTTGGAAGACTGAAGATTCCAAAAAATTTGAAAACTTTGAATATTCCGAAAATTCTGAAGAAACTAGAGATTCCAAACATTTCATAGAATTCAAAGTTTACAGATTTTCTAGGAATTCTAAAGATTCCATGAAGCCGTGAACCCTCTTTACTGTAGACTAACCTATTTATTATTGCTATGACACCGTTCAGATAATTTTTTATTTTGTTTGGTTGTAAAAGATGAACACAATGATGATACATTATATTAACTTTGAAGTTTTGTCAATTTTGTTTCCGCATTGTAACAATTTATTATTGTTACTTATACATAGGCAACCAATAATTCAGATAAGATGATGATTCGATAACCTACATTAGTTTCCGTACCCGTGTTTGGAATAATTTTACCATAATATTTTGTATTTCTTGCCATTGATGCATTAAGGATTGGTTCCACTTTACTTTTATGTTTTTAATTCCTTCAACTATAATTACAAATCCCAAATAATCAATTTCTTGTTTAAAAAATTCACATTTATTTTTGTGTAAAATAAAACGTGGTGACTTCAATATAGAAAAAGTTTCCCTCAAGTAACTCAAATGTTCTTCAAAATCTTTAACACTTACTAAAGTATCATCTAAAAATTTCTTTGTAGAGATGTCTTTAATGAAATCATTTTTAAATTACAGTTAAATGAGTGGAGAGAAATGGGACAATAATGTTCTAAAGTAAAAATAAGTCGTTTGTGAATAATTATATTGAATAATTTCTTAAGTACACAACAAATCATTAAGTAACTCATTAAAAAAGACGTTAATTACCATAATGCTGTAGCACGAAAGCTGCAATAATGATTATCTACATCATTATCCATTTGCTGATTGAGTAAAGTGATATTTTATGCCCTAGGAGAATAAAAAAGTGCACTTTTTATGCTGGAACAACTAGGTATGTGACCATCAATGACATTTGACCATAGGTAAATTGAAAATTATTGTGTAAGACCGCTAGCACTGATCTAATTTTTTATGTAAGCCATTAATGATTATAAAAGATCCTACTTCAAATTAGTTTTGAGATTTTGTGAATTTCTTACAAATATCGAGAATAATCAAACCTTTTTTGTTTGCAGTCTCATAGATAGGCAACCAGTAATTCAGATTTGATGATCTGATACATACATACATTAATTTCCGCACCTTATAACTACAAGTTTTGTTATATATCCCATAGTTTAGAAAATGTTTATAGCTACTGATACAATCGAATACGTTGCCCGGGCGCTCTAAAATAACGAAACTGCATTTATTGTGTGCATCAATGTATATAGATATTTCTCACCGCTAGACCTAGTCCATAGTTTAAACAATAATTTGCTGAAAACTTGATTTTGCGATCTCTAGCCAAGTGCACCAAGAAAATTAAGTACATTCTTTTGTTTGACTCACTGAAGTTGTACCAGTTGATTTTGATCGCTTCTGACAACAGTTCCTCAAACTGAGAAAATGTTTAATGGTGGAAGTGAAGAACGATTCACTTACGATATTTTCCAAAGATTGACTGGACCACATCAAACCACATAAACCACTAACCGTTCCTACTGACATCACTGTGACGCGCATGTAGGACAAAATATTTCCCTAAAAATTTACTTTGAAGGACAAGGTACGTAAACTTTCAAAAAAGATACTTACAAATATTATGTTCAGCGCAACACTCACACACAAGAGATATCCTGTCAACATAAAAATGATTACGGCGTTGCTAAGCTGAGTATATTTGTTGGCCGTAAACCTGAAATATTTCAGTAATTTATTATAAGTCGCAAGCTCGTGACAAGTGTTGCTTACAGTACGAAGTCTTTGAATCTTTTGAAGCAAAAAATTAATCTCTTTCGAGTTTCTTCTTGATAGCTTTCATCGTAGAATAATTTATCCTCTCTCTTGGTTCCAGCAACATCCGTCAAATTTTCTATGTGGTTTATAAGAATCATCAGTTGATACCTTATGTGCTGGGTGAAGTACATTAACTGAAATTGGTGTACGAAGAACAGATAACCAATTATAGGAAAAGTTGATTTGTAGACAAAAGTCAAAATTGTGGATTTATCGGCGCAATAATCCTCGAAAAATCTAAACGGGAAGAAATATTCATTATCCCTCGCTTCAGATTTGAGAAAGTAATACAAGCCCACCACAACTACAATCAAATTTGCAATGCAGTGAACGTGAATAAAAATTATCTCCTTTCGTATTTCTTTGTAAGTTTTTCTAGTCGCTTTATTGAGAACCCAGAGAGGTAATTCTCCTGGGATGTTGTCAATTACTTTTCCTTGAAATAACAGCATCAAAATTACAGTCCCGATCTAAAATTATTTTAAGAAAGCAGGTCATCAGTGGAATGCATATAAAGTAGTAATAATAGTGTAAATCAACACCAGAATCATTTTAAAAAATTGAGCGTCGTATCACGAAGGACTGACTAGGTTATTATTCGTTAACTTTGCACCTATTGGGGATGAATTAATTTTTGTTAGCTTTATTCGCGGGTTGAATCTGGTGTTAACTATGCACATATCGTACGTTAAATTGGCAGATACACACGTAAAAATATTCGAGAAATACCGGAGAATAGCCAAAAATCTCCTGAGGGGTTAGATGGTGGGTGAAAAAATATCCAGTTATGATGGTCATGGTGGTGTGTATGAGGAAAACTATCCATAACGCCGCTTTTACAATTTTATTTTGGAAAATATCAGACGAAATAAGTTTTACGAAACGTAGACAGTCCCCTGTAATATTCCGTTTATTTTATATTATATGTTTGGAAATGTTAAATGAATATAGTACCTTTCATGAATTTCACTTGATGGTATGGCAGCATCGTGCAAACGACTGGTTCAAATCTAGGTTGATGGTATAATTTAATTTAGTTCTAATGGTGGAGATCATTACAGGATTCGATTAAAAATGTATGGTTGGAAAAGTACAAGGTGACTTCAGGTGAACATTAATTTCATCGGTTGTTAATTGTTTATTAAGATATTTGTCAATATAAAGTGCTTCAACAATTACTGTGAATTTACGGTGAAAAAAAATCTAAATTCAAATCTAACGTGTTGGGAGGATGAAGAGAACGACCCAGTTTTTTATCCATCAAGTCCCAGATATGTTCGATTGGATTTAAATCAGGTGACCGCGGCGGCCAGGGCAAAAGGTTGACGTTATGTTCGGTTAGAGATATAAGGGCGAGCATTATCTTGTTGGGAAATTACTTCTGGAAGGTCTTAATTTTAAGATTAGTCACGGATATTACGTTATCTAGTATATAAATTGTTTCATATTCATTTTTATTAAATATAGTTGCTATGTATAAACAAGAAGAAAATAAAAAGTAAAAGTAAACCGGAAGTTCAATCGCACCAAGGTAAACTAAAATATGAAACCATGTATCACTTACGAAAATTTTAAATTATAATAACATTTAAAGCTTATGATCTGTCTGAAATAGTAAATAGAAACAAGCTTCGATATAGTACGACCTCAATAGAGAAAAATACTTCCAGAAAAACTGAATGTTTGGTGTGGTATTATTGGTTATCATAATTTTTTTATTAATGAGAATTTAAATTCTGAGCGATACTTATACATACTTACCGGCAGAAACTATTCGGTTTCAACAAGAGGGTGCTCCACCCCATTTTGGAGGTCAAGTGCGAAGGTACTTAAGGCAGACACACATTTCCAAAATATATGAGAAATAACCCAAAACCTAAAAATCTCTGGAGCTCCCTTTTTAATTTTTGAAAATTGCTACTAGTTTATTAAAAAAAAAAAACACTAAAATTTCATATCGCATTTTGCAGGAAGGTTTTGAAGTATTTTGATCTGAAAATTAGGTCATCTTGTAGAGAATTTTATTACGAATGGAGCTATGAAGACTCCGAAAATTGCAAAGATTCTGACAATTCTTAAGATTCTAAAGGAGCCAAAGATTCTAAAAATTCTGAGTGTTTCGTGTAATAAATCTGAAGACTGAAGATTCCGGAGATTTTAAAGATTATACAAATTCCAAGGGTTCCAGAGAATCTAGAAATTTCATAAATTCCGGATATTCCAGGACATTCCAAAAATTCCAATAATTTCGAATATTCCGAGACTCTAGAGATTCCAGAGATTCAAAAGCTTCTAAAATTTCTAAAAATGTGAAGATTTCGAAAATTCTAAAGGTTCTAAAGATTTCGAAGATTCTAAAGGTTCTAAAGATTCTGAAGATTGTGAATACTACAAAGGCTGAAGATTCTAAAAAATGTCAACACTGAAAATTCTAAAGATGCTGAAGATTATAAAGATTTCGAAGGTTCTAGAGCTTTCAGAAATTTCTAAAGTTCTGAATATTCCGGGATTCTAGAAATTCCAAAGATTCCAGATATTCCGAGATTCCAGGGATTGTTTGGAATAATTTTACCATAATATTTTGTATTTCTTGCCATTGATGCATTAAGGATTGGTTCCACTTTACTTTTATGTTTTTAATTCCTTCAACTATAATTACAAATCCCAAATAATCAATTTCTTGTTTAAAAAATTCACATTTATTTTTGTGTAAAATAAAACGTGGTGACTTCAATATAGAAAAAGTTTCCCTCAAGTAACTCAAATGTTCTTCAAAATCTTTAACACTTACTAAAGTATCATCTAAAAATTTCTTTGTAGAGATGTCTTTAATGAAATCATTTTTAAATTACAGTTAAATGAGTGGAGAGAAATGGGACAATAATGTTCCAAAGTAAAAATAAGTCGTTTGTGATAATTATATTGAATGATTTATTAAGGACACAACAAATCATTAAGTAACCCATTAAAAAAGACGTTAATTACCATAATGCTGTAGCACGAAAGCTGCAATAATGATTATCTACTTCATTATCCATTTGCTGATTGAGTAAAGTGATATTTTATGGCCTAGGAGAATAAAAAAGTGCAATAAGTTTTTGCAATTTTTTCAAAAAAGTGCACTTTTTATGCTGGAACAACTAGGTATGTGACCATCAATGACATTTGACCATAGGTAAATTGAAAATTATTGTGTAAGACCGCTAGCACTGATCTAATTTTTTATGTAAGCCATTAATGATTATAAAAGATCCTACTTCAAATTAGTTTTGTGAATTTCTTACAAATATCGAGAATAATCATACCTTTTTTGTTTGCAGTCTCATAGATAGGCAACCAGTAATTAAGATTTGATGATCTGATACATACATACATTAATTTCCGCACCTTATAACTACAAGTTTTGTTATATATCCCATAGTTTAGAAAATGTTTATAGCTACTGATACAATCGAATACGTTGCCCGGGCGCTCTAAAATAACAAAACTGCATTTATTGTCTGCATTAATGTATATAGATATTTCTCACCGCTAGACCTAGTCCATAGTTTAAACAATAATTTGCTGAAAACTTGATTTTGCGATCTCTAGCCAAGTGCACCAAGAAAATTAAGTACATTCTTTTGTTTGACTCACTGAAATTGTACCAGTTGATTTTGATCGCTTCTGACAACAGTTCCTCAAACTGAGAAAATGTTTAATGGTGGAAGTGAAGAACGATTCACTTACGATATTTTCCAAAGATTGACTGGACCACATCAAACCAGCTAAACCACTAACCGTTCCTACTGACATCACTGTGACGCGCATGTAAGACAAAATATTTCCCTAAAAATTTACTTTGAAGGACAAGATACTTAAACTTTCAAAAAAGATACTTACAAATATTATGTTCAGCGCAACACTCACACACAAGAGATATCCTGTCAACATAAAAATGATTACGGCATTGCTGAGCTGAGCATATTTGTTGGCCGTAAACCTGAAATATTTCAGCAATTTATTAAAAGTCGCAAGCTCGTGACAAGTGTTGCTTACAGCACGAAGTCTTTGAATCTTTTGAAGCAAAAAATTAATCTCTTTCGAATTTCTTCTTGATAGCTTTCATCGTAGAATAATTTATCCTCTCTCTTGGTTCCAGCAACATCCGTCAAATTTTCTATGTGGTTTATAAGAATCATCAGTTGATACCTTATGTGCTGGGTGAAGTACATTAACTGAAATTGGTGTACGAAGAACAGATAACCAATTATAGGAAAAGTTGATTTGTAGACAAAAGTCAAAATTGTGGATTTATCGGCGCAATAATCCTCGAAAAATCTGAACGGGAAGAAATATTCATTATCCCTCGCTTCAGATTTGAGAAAGTAATACAAGCCCACCACAACTACAATCAAATTTGCAATGCAGTGAACGTGAATAAAAATTATCTCCTTTCGTATTTCTTTGCAAGTTTTTCTAGTCGCTTTATTGAGAACCCAGAGAGGTAATTCTCCTGGGATGTTGTCAATTACTTTTCCTTGAAATAACAGTATCAAAATTACAGTCCCGATCTAAAATTATTTTAAGAAAGCAGGTCATCAGTGGAATGCATATAAAGTAGTAATAATAATGTAAATCAACACCAGAATCATTTTAAAAAATTGAGCGTCGTATCACGAAGGACTGACTTGGTTATTATTCGTTAACTTTACACCTAGTGGGGATGAATTAATTTTTGTTAGCTTTATTCGCGGGTTGAATCTGGTGTTAACTATGCACATATCGTACGTTAAATTGGCAGATACCCACGTAAAAATATTCGAGAAATACCGGAGAATAGCCAAAAATCTCCTGAGGGGTTAGATGGTGGGTGAAAAAATATCCAGTTATGATGGTCATGGTGGTGTGTATGAGGAAAACTATCCATAACGTAGCTTTTACAATTTTGTTTTGGAAAATATCAGACGAAATAAGTTTTACGAAACGTAGACAGTCCCCTGTAATATTCCGTTTATTTTATATTATATGTTTGGAAATGTTAAATCAATATAGTACCTTTCATGAATTTCACTTGATGGTATGGCAGCATCGTGCAAACGACTGGTTCAAATCTAGGTTGATGGTATAATTTAATTTAGTTCTAATGGTGGAGATCATTACAGGATTCGATTAAAAATGTATGGTTGGAAAAGTGCAAGGTGACTTTAGGTGAACATTAGTTTCCTCGGTTGTTAATTGTTTATTAAGATATTTGTCATTATAAAGTGCTTCAACAATTATCGTAAATTTACGATGAAAAAAAATTTAAATTGAAATTAATATGTTGGATGAAGAGAACGACGCAGTCTTTTATCCGTCATGTCCCATAGTTGTTCGATTCGATTTAAATCAGGTGACCGCGGCGGCCGGGTATCTTGCTGGGAAATTACTTTTTGAATTTTCAATTTTAAAATTAGTCACGGATATTACGTTATCTAGTATATAAATAGTTTCATATTCATTTGTATTAAAAATAGTTGCTATGTAAAAACAATAAGAAAATAAAAAGTAAAAGTAAAACAGGAAGTTAAACTAAAAGATGAAACCATGTATCACTTATGAAAATTTTAAATTTTAATAACATTTAAAGCTTATGATCTGTTTGAAATAGTAAATAGAAACAAGCTTCTATCTAGTGCGACGTCAATAGACAAACAAATACTTCCAGAAAAACTGAATGTTGGATGAGGTATTATTGGTTACCACAATTTGGTCCTTTTTTTATTAATGGGAATTTAAATTCTTAAGGCAGAACCACACATTTCCAAAATATATGAGAAATAATCCAAAACCTAAAAATCTCTGAAGCCCCCTTTATAATTTTTGAAAATTGCTACGAGTTTATTTAAAAAAAATAAAACACTAAAATTTAATATCGGATTTTGCAGGAAGGTTTTGAGGTATTTTGATCTGAAAATTAGGTCATCTTGTAGAGAATTTTATTACGAATGGAGCTATGAAGACTCTGAAAATTGCAAAGATTCTAACAGTTCTTAAGATTCTAAAGGAGCCAAAGATTCTAAAAATTCTGAGTGTTTCGTGTAATAAATCTGAAGACTGAAGATTACGGAGATTCTAAAGATTATACAAATTCCAAGGGTTCTAGAGAATCCAGAAATTTCATAAATTCCAGACATTCCAGGACTCTAGACATTCCAAACATTCCAATAATTTCTAATATTTCGAGACTCTAGAGATTCCAGAGATTCAAAAGCTTCTAAAATTTCTAAAAATGTGAAGATTTCGAAGATTCTAAAGGTTCTGAAGATTCTGAATACTACAAAGGCTGAAGATTTCAAAAAGTCTGAACACTTGGAAAATTGTAAAGACTCTGAAGGTTATAAAGATTTCGAAGGTTCTGGAGCTTCCAGAAATTTCTAAAGTTCTGAATATTCCGAGATTCTAGAAATTCCAAAGATTCCAGATATTCCGAGATTCCAGGGATTCTAAAGATTGTAAAAATTTTAACGATTCTCAAATTTCTAAAGAGTCTAGAGAGCCTGAAGATTCTGAATAGTTCGATGACTGAAGATTCCAAAAAATTTGAAAACTCCGAAGATTTCGAAGAAGGTTCCAGAGATTCCAGAGATATAAAAAATTTCGGATATTCCGAGATTTTTAAAATTCTGAAAATTATAAATTTTAGAAAGACTCCAACAATTTCGAATATTATAATGAGTTCGAAGAATCCAAGAATTTCGGAAAATGAAGCAATTCTCGAAATTCCCAAATTCTAGACCAAAAGATCTAACGACCCTGAAGATTTTGAAAAATCTGAACTCATTTGAAAGATTTTAAATTTTCGAAAGATTCCGGAAATTTGAGAGATTCTGAAGATCCCCAAGATTGAGTATTTCGAAGATTGACGATTCCAAAAAAATTTGAAAACTTTGAAGATTTCGAGGATTCCAACGGTTCCAGAAACTCCAAAAATTTTGGAAATTCCGAGATTAGGAATTGTCAAGATTCTGGAGATTCTAAAGATTTTTAACGAAGGTACTGAAAATTCTGAAGATTATGAACAAAGATATTGAAGAATCTAAAGTTTAAAAAAATTCTGGAGATTGTAATGATCCCAAAGTTTCCAGAGATTTCAGAAATTTCTAAAGTTCCGTACATGCTGAGGCTCTACGGATACCAGAAATTCCAAAGATTCCGGATATTTCGAGATTCTAAAGATTTTAAAGGTTATAAAGATTCTGAAGATTCTGAATATTTGGAAGACTGAAGATTCTAGAAAATCTGAAAACTTCGTAGATTCCGAAGAATTTAAAGAATATAAAGATAGTCTTAGACTCTAGAGATTCCAGATATTCTAAAATTCTGAAGGCTTTGAAGATTCAGGGGATTATAAAGATTCCAGAAATTTCAGGGGTTCTGAACATATGCAAAATATGTTTAAATCTGAAGATTCCAAAATATTTGAAAATTGCGAAGATTTCGAAGAAGGTTCAGAGATTCCAGAAAGACTCTAAAAACTTCGAATATTAGATCGTAACACCTAAAAATAATGCATGATTAACAAAGAGTGGAGCTTTGATTAACTTGATCGGCTCTAATATTCAAAATCAAGAATGAGAAATAAACTGTGACGAGTTGTTCTAATTTTATTAGGTACATGAAAACTTTTTGTGAGTAATAGCTTACAAAAAACATTGATTTATGTAAACTAGGCTGTATTAATTACAACTATACACTGTACTTATAACTATGACTGTATTGTGAATTTGCGGTAAAAGACTAGGAGTATTATATACGATATAGGTGCATAATAACAACCTTAAACTCGTTTTTTCAGGTTTAAACAAACATTATTTTTTTGTATTTCGCAGCAAAATGTCATTTGACCTGAAATTTGATCATTGTACGGCAATAAACTGTCTTTCGTAAAGGAAATATTGCTGTTATCTACGGCGTTTCTATCTAAGCACCACTGTGATTTGGCTATAAAACACTGTGTATCACCTGAATTGATCACGCGAACAGTAAAGTAATACTTATCATGTTTATTGTACTTAGTCAAAATTCGCACACTCCATTCGCAGTAATCAGTTTGACGATTAAAAGATAACTGAAAAATGTTACCATATTCGAAAAAATATATATCATTACTTCTGGTTCCCCAGCGATTTTTAGCTAAGGTAAAAGTTTTTTCGTACGCGGTTCCTGTAATTAAGCTATCAGCGTGATCAACTTCAAAGTGATTTCGACAAGAAGAGAAATTGCCTTTGAATTTGCAATTACTTTTAGGGCATTCATATGTCTGATACGTGCATTTGTCTTCATGTTCGTCTATTTCGCTTCCTAAAAGCATCGAAGTGCAACCAAACTGACTATAAACACACTCGTATTGCACAAACGGTGTAAGGGCCTCGACCAAAAAATTCCGGATGTTTTCTTGAGGAAAATCTTTCCGGCAAGTCGGACACTGACCAACTTTCCTGCGACACGATTGGCAGATGCTGTGCCCAGCAGGACACTGGAAAATCGGTTGCCTCATTATATCTTTGCAAACGGGACATTCCAATTGCTTCGTAATTTCAGAAGTTACATTCTTTACTACGTACTTTTCGGGCCTAATCACAACTCTAACCACCTCATCTTGTTGCATAACTTCCTTCAAAGTAGAAAGTTGAATCTTTTGTCCGTTTTGTTCCTCACATGCAACTTCAAACGATAAACCTGGAAGCTTCGTCTCGTAGATGTTAGTTCCGGCTGCATATTTTACAAACATGTTTAACTCCCCTTTCAAGAAATGCAGCAAGCTGTTACCTCCCTTCTCTTTCTCTATCCTCAAAACGTTCACCCTGTTTCTGTGGGTAAACAGTTTGATTACTGTATCGAAATTTTGTAAATTGATCTCGAAAGAATATTCTCCGCACTGTTCGTTCAGAACGTGCGTTTCATGCTTCTCTTCGAAGTGTTTAAATAAATCGACCAGTGTACCCACCCATTCGCACTCTTGTTTTGGCATTAAGCAGTTAACCGGGCGATAACTGCAGTAATTTTCGTGTCGCTTCAAGTCGTCGTAAAGTAGTGCTTCATTTTCGCAACCCTCTGACTGAAATTTACATGGAAATTCTAATTCTCTCAATATGGCGTCTACTCTTGTGTTTGGGAAGCTGTTCCAACTATTTTCTTCGTTCTTGGTTTGGAAACAATCGTGACAAACGTCACCAATATTTTCAACCGTCATCACTGGAGCCACCAACAAATTTTTACAGACGCCACATGAAAAAACTTTCTCTCTTAACATTTTCTTTGTAAAGTCTTGGATCTTTTCGTTCGCCATTACGAACCTGTGGAACAGTTAATTAAGATTTTTATCTGCTTTCATAAAACTGGGACATGTGTAATCTTTTTACTTTAAGTACTTGAATGATAAAAATGTGATATTTGCTCAGCTCAATTTGTTAACTTAGATAGAAGCAAAATGAACGTTTGTTAAGATAAGATAAGGGATAAGATTTTACGGTTTTTTGGGTTTTGGTAAAAAATTCGGTGATCTACTCATTCTACCCAAATTGTGAAATTTTACTACTCTAAAATCAGAACGTGTATAATGGTCGTTTTAAGAGTTTAAATTTAATTTCGACACGACTTTTATAAGTAACATTTTGATTTACTTTGAGAAAAAGCATTTACATAAAAACTACTTATATTTAAATACTTACGTGTTTTATTAATAACGGATTTTTCTGGTATAAATTGGTAACAATGATTTTCTTGTGCGTTTATAATCAGTCGAATGGAACTGGAGAGATGTATGTAAATGATGATAACTGATTAGTAGATATTTCAGTCACTGACTGACAATCTAATCGTGCACTCAGCAACTTATGGAAGATTTAGCCAAGTATTGTAAGCGGCAACCGTTTATACTGACGCCAGTAGTTCCCCGACCTCCCAGATGGTGGTGATGACATCACCACCTTGGGCGACGCTGGAGGGGAATGAGAGGACGCCAGTACCACTTCGGACACAAGCTGCGCGTGTTGTTAATCGTTTATATTTTCAAATAAATTCGTAAAAGACTTTTCTGGCTTATAGTATAGTGCGATAAATTCTGCGCATGTTTTGATGACTCAAATATTCGACAAATCGAAAATTGGAAAAGCGAAATATTGACAAATCAAAAATTTGTCGATGGTTATTACTATAAAGCATGGGCGCCGGCAGGGGGGTGCAAGAGGATGCATTTGCACCCCCCTGGCTTAGCATAAAATACACACTTTAATTTAAATCCAAATTGCAATCTTCTAGGAAGTGGATAATTGTTTTTGAAATCACTTCCGCATTCAGTTCTTGCAGCGGCACATATCCTAAAAATTCTTGGCAAATTATTGGATTTTTATTGTCTTGATCACAGCGCAAATATCGAACTCCAATCGATAATTGTTCTGTGCCACTAATATTAGCAGTCTCATCAGCCAGCATCTAAAAAACGGATGCCTGATTCACATCCTCAATTATTTTGCTCTTAAGAACGTCAGAACAAACTTCAATCAATTCATTTTGAATTTGATGCGATATATACAAAGAGTTTCTTGCTCCTGACTCTAAATGATTTTTTAAAATTTCATCCCCAGATTGAATTCGAAAATGGAGCAAATATACTATATCCTATAATGTATGGGTGCACCCCCCTGCAAATAATCCTGCCGGCGCCCATGCTATAAACTAAATAATCAGTGGCTTAAATAAAATTTTCGCTGCTTTTTTGACTTAAACTTTTACTTTATCAATTTTCCAAATTTTGAATTTTTCACTGTTTAGATTTTTCAATTTGTCGATTTGCAATATTTCGTTTCGGTTTTTTATTTTCTTTATTTTTTGAATTTTCTGATTTTTTAAAGTTTCGATTTAATAATTTTTTGATTTTTCAGTTTTGATTGTTCAATTTTTTGTTTCTTCAATTTTTTGTTTTGTAATTTTAAGTTTTGTTTCTTCAATTTTTAGATTTTGCAATTTTTCGATTTATGATTTCTCGAGTTTTCAATTTCTAATTCGTTTCGGTTCTTTATTTCCTTTATTTTAACGAATTTTCGGTTTTTCAGGTTTTCATTTCTTCAATTTTTGATTTGCAAATTTCCTAGTTTTTATTAATTTTTTTTATTTCTTCAATTTTACAAGTTTGCGAGTTTTCATTCACAAATTTTTCAGTTTTTTGATTTTCCAACAAATTTGGATGTCTAAATTTTTCGATTTTTCAATTTTTTCAGTTTTTTGAATTGCAATTTTTCGTTTCGGTTCTTTATTTTCTTTATTTTTGACAATTTTTCGGTTCTTTTAATTTTCTGATTTTATAATTTTACATTTCTTCAAAGTGAAATTTTTCAGTTTTGGATTTTTCAAAATTTTGATTTGCAATTTTTCGGTTTTCAGTTTTCCGATTTTTCTACTTTCAGGTGTTCCAGTTTCTCGGTTTTTTAAATTTTTCGTTTCTTTAATTTTTGATTTGCAATTTTCTAGTTTTCATTTCCTTCCTCAATTTAACGATTTTAGATTTTTTCCATTTTTCAAATATGTATTAGATTTAAAACTTTTTCATTTATTCGGTTTTCCAATTTTACGATATGCAACTCTCGGAGTTTTAATTTTTTAATTTTTCAGTTTTTCATTTCTTCAGTTTCTTGATTTGTAATTTTTCGTTTCATCAGTTTTTTATTTCTTAGTTTTTTCAATTTTTCGGTGTTTCAGTGTTCTGATTTATATATTTTTTATTTCAATGTGAAAAATTAAAAGATTCTTCAATTTTTGAATTACAATTTTTCTAGTTTTCTTTTTAAATGTGTAGAAATAATAATAATAATAATAATAATTTTTAAAATACTTCACTTTTTCAATTTTACGATCTTAGAATGTTTCTATTTTTTAATTATTGGATTTTAAAACTTTTTCATTTATTCGATTTTTCAAGTTTTCGATAATTACTTTTTCAATTTTTCGACTTTACAATTTTTGGATCTTTCCAATTTTACGATTTATTAATTTTTTCGATTTCTAAGTTTCTCCATTTAAGTTTTTCAAGCTTCAGTTTTTCATTTCTTCAGTTCGATTTCCCACTTTTTCGTTTTTGCTATTTATCGTGTTTAGTTTTTCGATTTCCCCATTTTTCGATTTTTCAACTTTTCGAATCAAAAAAATGAAGACACTGCAAAAAGCAAAATAAAAAATTAGAAATCAAGAACTTGAAAAATTGAAGAAACGAAAAATTGAAAAATTGAAAAAATTAAAATTGAGAAACTTAAATCGAAAAACGGCCAAATCGAAAAAACGAAAAATCGGATAATTCTTGAGAAATCCAGAAATTGCAAAATCGAAAAACGTAAAAATTGGAAAATCGAGGAACTGAAAAATAGAAGATTGAAAAATTGAAATATTAAATAAACAAAAAAATATAAAATCGGAAGACATTGAAAAAACTTAGGACATGAAAAACGAAAAATTGTGTTATAAAATCTAGAAAATGAGAATTAAAAAAATCGGGAAATGAAAAATAAAAATCAAAAACTTGAAAAATTGAGTAAACGAAAAATTGAAAAATCGAAAAATTGAAGAGACGAAAAACTGAGAAATATTGTAAAAACGAAATATTGAAAATTAAAGAAATTGGAAAACTAGGTAATTGAGAAAACGAAAAATTGAAAAATTTGAAAAATTGAATAAACAAAAATTTGTGATGGAAAATCTAGAAAATTGAAAATTAAACAATTGTGAAAATGAAAAATAAAAAAACTTGAAAAATTGAGAAACGAAAAATTGAAAAATTAAAACTTGAGAATCGGAAAAATGGACAAAATGAAAAATTGTAATGTCGAAAAATTTAAAGTCGGAAAATTGCAAAATTGAAAAACTGCAAATCGAAACTTCGAAGAAACGAAAAAGTAAAATATTTAGACGTCGAGAAATTGAAAATTTTTTAACTAAAAATCCCAATAAAATATTTTTGTAAATGATCAAGTTAATTTATGTTCGAAAAATTTAAAACTTGGAAAATCGAGGAATTGAAAAATCAAAGATTGAAAATTTGAAAAATTGATAAATGAAAAATTATAAAATCGAAAAATCATTCAAAAAATAAACGAAATGAAAATCCAAAATTGTGCTATAAATTCGAGAAAATGAAAATTAAAGAAATCGGAAAATGAAAAATAAAAATTAAAAACTTGAAAAATTGAGGAAACGAAAAATCGTGATAGAAAATCTAGAAAAAAATGAAAAACAAGAACTAGAAAAATTGAGAACCGAAAAATTTAAAATCGGAAAATAGCAAAATTGGAAAACTGCTATTCAAAACTTTGAAATAACATTAAAAAAAATAGTAAATGATCAAGTTAATTTATGTTTGAAAAATTTAAAAATTGGAAAATCGGGGAATTGAAAATTCAAAGATTGAAATTTTGAAAAATTGATAAACGAAAAATTAAAAAATCGAAAAAACATTGAAAAAATAAACGAAATGAAAAAGCCCAAATTGTGCTATAAAATCGAGAAAGTGAAAGTTAAAAAAATCGGGAAATGAAAGATAAAAATTAAAAACTTGAAAAATTGAGGAAACGAAAAATTGAAGAAACGAAAGTTTGAGAAATTTGTAAGGAAAAACGAAATAATATAAAAACGAAATATTAAAAATGACATAAATTGGAAAATCGGATAATCGAGAAATTGAAAATTGCAAAATTTGAAAAATTGAGTAAACGAAAAATTGTGATAGAAAATCTAGAAAAAATGTTAACTAAAAATGTTAAAAAAATATTTGTAATAATCAAGTTAATTTATGTTTGAAAAATTTAAAAATTGGAAAATCGAGGAATTGAAAAATCAAAGATTGAACATTTGAAAAATTGAGTAAACTAAAAATATAAAATCAAAGAAACATTGAAGAAAATAAAAAAAATAAAAAAACGAAAAATGGTGCTATAAAATTGAGAAAATGAAAATTAAAAAATTGATGAAACGAAAAATTGGAAAATCGAAAAATCGCAGAAACAAAAAATTGAGAAATCTGGGAGAAATTCAAGTCGAAAAAAGATAAAACCGAAACACTGAAAAATTGAAAAAACGAGAAATTGAAATAGAAGGTGAATAAATCGAGACTTTTCCAAGAATTATGAGATTTTGATTTTTTTTAATTTAAATTTTTTTATACGTAATATTTTGCATATTTCATAGAGGATGGATTCGGAAAAATTTTGAGATGACATGATGAGTTTTCAAAGCATTCGGTTTTGAAGTTTCAAACTTAAATTGCAAAATATTGTTATACAGTTTTGATTTTCTTTTCTAAAAATCTGGATGTTTCCGGTGAACCTAACACGGATTCATACACCCCTAGTTAACCCGGGATTACTTATATTATTTTATAAAATTAAAATTATTACTGTTGTAAATTTTAAAGATAACGTCATTCCATTGGTGGTGGGGACGATTAGCCTAATTTTGATATTCATAATATACGTAGAAAATTTGACAACAATCGGTCAAGTAGTTTCGAAGATTATCTCCAAAGAACGTTTACGAATGAATCGTCAGTGAGACTATTTAGGTTTGAAGAAATCTGATCTAACCTGACCCGAGATGACCTGACAAGCATACTATGAATTTGTTTGAAATGTTTTTATTTACGTTTCGATAATCTTAAATTTATTTCAAAACACACACAAAGAAAACCCATTGAAATAAAATTAACTTAAATTTTATTAGGTACCTGATAAGATCCGTTACATCAAAGTAGACACAAAAATATCAAAAAAAAAAATACAATAAATACGTAATTTCCATTTATACAATCGAACAAAATTACTCTACGCTGGTACAAAATGCAGGTGCGCCCACCCTAGAGCCGAAGGCCGCGGTTCGTGGACGCCACGTAGTTCAGCAGCTCCTCCGAGTCCTCGCAGACGATGGGCTTCTCGTGGTAGCAGGCCACGTCGTGCCAGGCGATGCCGTCGTTGTAGACGTTGTTCAGGACCGAGAGGCACGACTCGCTCGTCCCGTTGATGTCGAACTCGGCATTGTCGGGCTGGCGCTGCTTCTTGTGGCCGGTGGACGACCACGGGTTGTAGCCCCAGCCGTTGGGCCGCTGGTTGGTGGGCGCCATCTTCTCGCGGTTCGCCGACCAGAACCAGCCGTACACGTTCTTGGGCTCGAGGTCGGAGCGGTTCTCGCAGCCTTTGAAGTCGCACAGCCTTCCAGATGTCCAGATGTACGGCACGTCGTCTGAAGAAATCCAAGAGGATTAAGAAAAAATTCGTGACATTTGCGGTTTCGTCAGCTATTATTGCGTTGCTTAATGAGCGTGCACTTTGATGCAATGGTATTAAAAATAAATATTGACGAAATGCTGAGTGCGGGATGAAATGGGTTGGATTGCGGTAATCGAAGTTTTTGCAAGGATGAAACTTGGTAGGTTCGGTCAGGGTTGACGCTCGGTTTAAGAACACTCTGTATTGAAGGACTGAAGTGGTACTGATATCCGTTTTCAAATATTTTCAGCGATCAGTCCAAGACTATTCAAAATGAACTAATATTTTGTGTAAGTGATTATTTAAAAGAATATATTTTTATTATATATATAGATTTTTTGCGGTTATTGCTGATGATACCACGGTGTTCTTTAACAGTAAGATTGGTCGAAAAGAATGTCGGAGTAGCTGGAGAATGGAAGAATTTCATCCAAGTATTCGACCAAATTATTAATAATTCCACGCCCGGAGCAGAATCTATAATTCGCATAGCTCAAGGTTACTTAAAAAGTTTTTCTGATTTCGAATTTGCTTTATAAACTGCAGTATTTCACGATTTATTTGCACTTACAGATATACACTCTGAAATCCTTTAGTCCTAGTTTTATTAATTATTAATTTCATACTGCAAAAATTACATATACATATTAACGCCAGGAAAAACCGGATTGGATCTTTACGAATAGGAGAAGTATTTCAAAAAGTTGGTTAAAGTTTATTTTTCTTTGAAAAATTACAGTTTTTAAATTTTCCACCTTCTGAATTTTTCAAATTTTAGATTTTGCAAGTTTTTCGGTGTCAGTTTTTCCAATTTTAGAATTTTCAGTTTTTCGATTTTCCAAATTTTCAGTACTTCGCTTGGTATCAATAGTTGTATATCAATATTATTATTTTTTGTCGTAATATATGTAATTTTGCACTATGTCACTGCAGACATTATTACTACTATTATTAACTTTTGGATGTTTCGGTTTTTAAATTTTGTAATTTTTCGAATTGTAATTTCAGGAGTTTTCAATTTTTAATTTTCAAATGTTTCGGTCTTCTAAAGTTCTGATATTATAATTTTAGATTTTCCATGTGAAATTTTTGAATTTTTGTTTTTTCAGTTTCCCGTAACATGTAAAAACAATTAATTTTAAAAATTGTTAATTTTTTCAATTTTACGATATAAAATTTTTCTATTTTTCAAATATATACTGGATTTTCATTTAATCGAATTTTCAATTTTTCTTGCAAACTATGGTTTTTATTTTCTTTAATTTTTCGATTTTTCGATTTGTAATTTTTCAGTTTTTCGATTTTCCAATGTTTGGTTTTTGATTTTTAGATTTTGCAAACTATCGATTAGCAATTTCACGAGTTTTCAATTTTTAATTTTTCGATTTTTCAGTTTTTCATTTTTCAATTCTTTGATTTTCCATTTTTCGTTTCGGTTCAATGCTTTCTTTATTTTTTAAATTTTTCGGTCTTTTGATGTTCTGATATTATCATTTTGCTTTTTTTCAATGTGAAATTTTTGAATTTTTGAATTTTTCAATTTTTCGCGTAGCAATTTTTCGACTTTTCAATTTTTGATTTTTGAGTTTCCAGATTTTTCAGTTTTGCGTTTATTCAGTTTTTGATTTGCAATTTTTTTAGCTTTAATCTGAAATATGTAAAAACATTTTTTTTAAATTGTTCAGTTTTTCAATTTTACGATTTAAAATTTTTCCATTTTTTAATTACTGGATTTAAAAACTTTTTCACTTAATCGATTTTTCAAATTTTCGATTTGCAATTTTTTGTTTTGGTTTTTACTTTCTTTAATTTTACAATTCTTCCATTTTTTAATTTTTCTATTTCAGTTTATTCAGTTTTTCGTTTCTTCAATTTTTCGATTTGCAATTTTTCTGATTTTTAATTTTTTTTGTTTCTTCGATTTGACGATATGCAACTCTTCCGGTTTTCATTTTAAAATTTTTCAGTTTTTCCATTTTCCAATATTTGGATTTTAATTTTGTGATTTTTCAATTGTTCATTTCTTCAGTTTTTCAAATACAATTTTTCATTCGGGTCTTTTTGTTTATTTTTACAATTTTTCTGATTTTATAATTTTTCTTTTCTTCAAAATGAAACTTTTGGAGTTTTCAATTTGATTTGTAATTTTTTGGTTTTGATTTTTTCGATTTTTGAACTATTAGATTTTCAATTTTTCGTTTCTTCAATTTTTGATTTGCAATTTTTCTAGTTTTGATTTTAAATATGTAATAATAATTATTTTTAAAAATTTTCGATTTTTCAATTTTACGATTTTAGAATGTTTCAATTTTTCAATTATTTGATTTTAAAACTTTTTCATTTATTCAATTTTTCTGTTTTTAGATACTTAATTTTTTAATTTTCGATATTTAATTTTTCAATTTTTCGTTCTTTCCGTGTTATAATTTTTGACTTCACGATTTTGACGACTGCATAATTTTTTGATTAAAAAATTCGCGAAATGAAAAATAAAAATCAAAAACTTGATAAATTGAGGAAATTCGAAAAATTGGAGAAACAAAAAAAATGAGAAATTTGGAAGGGATTAGAGCTAATAAAAAAGATAAAAGCGAAACATTGAAAAATTGAGAAGACGAAAAATTGAAAAAACAAAAAATTGGAAAATTGGAAAATTGAAAAATCAATCAAGAATTTGAAAAACTGAAGAAACGAAAAATTTAAAATCGAAAAATGAAAAATTGGGATATCAAAAAATTGGTCGAAAGGTAAATAAATCCAGACTTTTCCAAAAATTGTAAGATTTATTTTAAGTTAAAACAAAGACTCTTAGATTTTGCAAATTTTCGATTTGTAATTTAATTATTTATTTATTTTATTTATTTAAATGAAAGTTAGAGTTTTCAATTTTTAATTCTTCAATTTTTCGATTTTTTAATTTTTCATTTTCCAATTTTTGGATTTGCAGTTTATCGTTTCGTTGTTTTATTTTCTTTTTTGTTGCGGTTTTTCAATGTTCTAATTTTATAATTTTTGCCTTTTTTCCAATACGAATTTTTTCAATTTTTGGATTTTCCATTTTCGCGGTTTTCAATTTTTTCATATTTCAACCCTTACAATTTTTAATTTTCCATTTTTTCAATTTTACTTCGCAATTTTTCTAGCTTTCATTTTAAATATGTAATAATAATAATTTAAACATTTTTCACTTTTTTAATTTAACGATTTGAATTTTTTTTCATTTTTAAGTTATTGAATTTTAAAACTTTTTCATTTATTCGACTTTTCAATTTTTTCAAATTCTCGATACTTAATTTTTCAATGTTTCGATTTGTCATTGATACAATTTTTCGACTTTTTGCCAATTCTATAATCTTTCTAATTTTTCCCTTTCGCGATTAATTATTTTTTCAAGTTTCTCAATTTTTAGTTTTTCAATGTTTCAATTTTTCGTTTCGATTTTTCACTTTTCGAATAAAAAAAGAAGAATTGCAAAATTGAAAAATAAAAAATGAAGGAACGAAAAAGTATAAAATGAAAAATTGAAAAAAATAAAATTGGAAATCAAGAACATGAAAAACTGATGAAACGAAAAATTATAAAATCGAAAAAAACGTTGGAGAAATAAATTAAATGACAAAACGAAAAATTGTGATAGAAAATTGAGAAACTGAAAATTAAAAAATTAGGACAACGGAAAAAATGGCTTTAATATCAGGACTTCATAAAAAATGTAAGCTCATTAGACTACAACCATTATTATGACACACATTACGAAATTACAGTAATTGGTCACCAGACAAATAAAAGGTCATTCAGTAAATTAAGTAAATCCGCTAATAATAATGCAAGTCAGCTGATTTTTAAGCAACAAATGTCAGTACAGCCTTCACAATTACAAAAAATTCAACAAACTAATTCTTTAATTCCTACAACTACTCACTCTGTTGGATAAGTCTGAAGATCATATTATTTTCCTCCTGCGTCTCCAGAGACACCAAATCCATACAATACTCCCTACAGATGTTCCTTCCGTCTAACCAATCCACTTTCCTATTGGCCAATTCCGGCACGTGACCGCTGAAGAAGTAATTATGCCCCCGGAAGGAGAACTGTTTCGGCCCTGTAAAACCCATCATCATTACAACCACGTGCCGCTCGTACCAAGTAATTTATTATTCATCAAAACGAAAGCGTCGATTCGGGTTAATTTCAATAAAAACCTGCACCTAATCAAAGTAGAATGAAGAAAGTTGTCCAATTAGTCAATCTAGTGACAATAGAAACAGGGATGCCAACATGAAACACTGACGGCGTTTCGCAACCAGGCCATCTTTAATAGGAAAAACGGCTATTATAAAGCGACCACCGATAAGATTTACAACTTAATCGAGAAAGTGGAACGTCGAGGACTCAATGCTGAAGCATTGAAGATTGCAGCTAATTTTAATTTTTATTAAAAGTAATTATCATAATTGTTTAAGTAGGCAGCGCATGTATTTTTAAGCGCAGTGATATCATCTGCTAATAGCTTGTGAAAAAAATGTAACCTTAAGGTGGCTTAAAAAATTACAGGCAATTAGCGAGTTGGGATCAAGGTGGCTGCGTTTGTGATGAATTTTGACAGCGGCATGGCGCTAGATTTAAATTCACAAATATGGTGGTGCCGCAACCGCCGCTTGTGCAATCGTACCAACTTAATCAACAATTAAAAAATAAAATCGGATTGTATCGCCTGCCAACACAACAACTATTCGCTTATCTGCGACGACCTCCGGTGCTTTACGAAATCGCGGTGTGTGTTTGTTCAAAATTTAAATAAAAATTCCTATTTGTATGCTTTGTGGTCGTTGTGGGTGATGTGAATGAGAAACGTGTGTGGAAATAATGTTGAGGATGTTGGTTACTGGTTTATGGTTGGTAGTATTGTTTGTAGTAAGCGGAATTTCTTATCACGTGCGAATTCGTTGAATGCAGTTTTCACTTGTTGGGTAATTTTACGGCGCTTTTATTTTAATTGTGGCGGGTCTAGATTTTTCGGAGCGATGGCATTGTGGACGAAGAAACACTGGAATGTGTATAAATTACGTACATTTTTTAAACAAAAAGTTTATTTATTTTTTGTTATTTTAAAAAAAAATAAAATTTTGACAAGTCGGCAAAATTTGATTTTCTCAAAAGTTTGCATTCAGGATGGATGCGAGATTTTGTGCTAAAGTTTTTGGTGCTTAAAATGTCAAAAAGTACACTATAATTTGTACTTGGAATTATTTTTTCAATGGCACAGTACCTAATTTTAATTTTTAAAATTCAAAATTTTGACAACTGGGAAGATTTTAAAAATTTTCAAAATTTGTATTCTCGTGACGCGGTGAAGTTGTCAGACTTTGGGTAGCGAGGTGTTAAGAGTGAATCTTTGGTTTATAGCCAAGAAGTTTTTCCGAAATTTGAAAATTTTTGGATTTTTCAAAATTTCACTAAACGTCAAAATCAACAATTAAAAAAAACATTCTTGAAATGTGGATGGATTACGTCAAATTTTTGTACTACCAATCTTAAAAAATCATTTGTAAATTATCAAGAACATAGTTCATTTTTTGTCTGAAAATATTTCTGATTTTTTAAATTTTGAAAATTTTAACAACCCGGAAAAATTCTTGATTTTGTCAAAAATTTGCGGAGGTTTTGAGTCAAAGTTTTTAATACGGAAAACGTCAAAGGTACACTATAATTTGGAGTTGTGATTGTTTTTTAATGTAACAGTAATTTTAATTTTTGAAATTCAAAATTTTGACAACTGGGAAGATATTCAGAATTTTCAAAATCTGCATTCTCTAATGCGGTGAACTTGTCATAGCTTAAGATTCCGAGATGTTAAGAATGATTTTTTGATTTACAGCCAAGAAGCTTTTACTACATTTCAAAATTTTTGGAATGTTCAAAATTTCACCATTTTTAACTAAAAATCTTAAAAAAATAGTTGTAATTTTCAAGTTTATTTTATGTTTGAAAATGTTTCGAATTTTTTAAAGAGTTAAAATTTTGACAACCCGACAAAACTATCCATTTTGTAAAAAAATTGGATTTGAATTTATGCGGGTTGGTTCATAAAAAATGTAATTTTAATGAAAAAGTTGTAACAATTTTTGTTTTTTTTTTCCAAAGCTTACTAATTTGTTCAAATATAAACAAGTGAAGGAAGTGAAAACTTCAAAGTCGCCTTTTTCCAGCGCAAATACCACTAATTCCACTATAAACAAGAGCTCGCCTTAAAAGGCACCTCACATCCACAACAAACATCTTTATTGACCATCGGCATTAACATAGCGACTAATAAACAATCCTTTATTAACTATATTCACTTAGATAATTACGTATAGCAGCCGTTTCTCGATACCAATTACCATAAAAACGAATAAGGCAAGTGAAAACCCACTTACTGTTGGCACATTTCTGTGGATTAGGCAAGGACAAGAAGCGGCCCGGCCTGTTGGAAACCGGCCTAATTTGGTTGATGGCGGGGGTGGCGACAGCCGCCGCACAGGCGGCCAGGACGACAAACGCTATTTTCATCTGAAACAAGAAAAAAAACGTTAAGTTGACTGTGTAAATGGAGTATTTCAAATTTGGCGCGATTTGTAGTAGAGTCAGTGTTTGTGAGAGGCGGCACAGTGGAGCTCCCTCGAACCTGAACTACAACCGAACGCTATTATTTATTTGGGACCCCTTTTTCCAGTATACATAGGAGTTGGTTAGAAAATTTAATTTACACATTGTCAGACTTTTCGACATTTTAAAACTGAAAGTTTTTCCCCCTAATCTGGATCATCTCCGAACCCCCGAAACCTCGCACGATCTCTTCGCACGCTCCGCAATAATTCAGCAGAAGTTCACTAGGTCAAAAAAGGTCACGCAAATACACACCGCACACACGCCGAAGACCGAAGATCTGACAAATGAGTTGCATTTTCGAGATTTCTCTTTGCGACAGTCCCAGGCGCTTAAATTGAACGAACGCCGGTTGCTTAACCGCCTGTTTGCAAAACAGTGTCAAGATGAGGGAGGAGAAAGTGGAAGGATAAACAACAACAGCAGAAATTCGAACGGACACACCTCCAAGTGCCTTTCGTTATTACCTAACCTTCACCATTAGACGGTGTTGACCAGATTTTTTCGCACCGGATCGATAATTTTAAGGCTTTTAACTTTCAGAGGAAGCTGGCGTGTCGGGTGTTGGTATGCAGTTCCGAGTGCTGGGGACGGGTCTGGCGCTGCAGCGAAAGAAAAGGAAAGTGGCAGGTGCGAAGAGCTGGAAGATGAGACAATGGGTCTGAGGTGGTGGGGTGTTTGTTGATGGTTTGAGCTGGTGGAATCATCGCTGTTTCATTTTTCCTCTTGGTTTCTTATCCACCTACGTATTTTTTAAGACTTTTCTTTCCCACACTTTCAACATTTCGTATTCCTCAATACGCGACATCATTGCTTCACTTTCGTATGGGACCGTGGATCTTATCGACATCTTGTGAATTCTGATCTTTATCGTTGTAGCATTGCACAGTACTCAGATAATAAAAACTACCGACTTATTTATTTTTTTTATTAACAAGGAAAGTGTCCCAGATCGTCTGGTTTTATTTCCACTCTTGGGAAGAATAAAATTTTCTATTTGTTTTATTGCATTAGTTCTTTGCTTAGTGTCCCGATGTGAATTTTTTTTTTACTCTTTTTAAGGCCTTCTTTTACGTTTGTGGGGTGTTATTTTTTTTCTTTCATTGGAATTCTAGTCTGGTCATCAGTATTTTATTTATTCTCAACGTCCTCAGTGTTTTAGAAATATCAAAGTGTATTTAAATCGTCTCATATCGTCAGAAAATTTAATTTCCAAATATTAAAAACTTTTTAAATTTTAAATTTTGACAGTTCCATTGCTCCAGTCACCAGAACTTTATTTATTCTGAGTATTTTGATTCTAAATGTCTCTCAGATACATTCAAGTGAATCTAAATCTTCTAAAAAATTTAAGTTTCCAAATACCGAGAGCTTTTTATTGTTATAGCTAAATAATGATAATAATAATAATAATAAAAGTTGGCGATTAATATATAATAGGTCTTGAGATTTTTAATTCAGATTTGCTACTTAGTAGTACTTGCTAAGATAAGACTGATTTTGGTATATCACATATCCTCTAAGAAAATAAAGGGTGGGTGGGCGGGGCTATTTCTTGCTTGTAAAAGACAGCAGGAAAAAGTAAAACTTAGCCCCGCCCACCCACCCTTCTCTCATTTTTTTCTTCAGAAATAATAAATAAATCTTAAGCAAAAAGTATATCAAACAAATTACGATTAGCGATTTTTTTTTAACAGCCTACTTTATATTAGTTCCCATTCGTGCTCTATCAAAGAACATACAATTAACCCCTCCCACCCACCCCACCTTCATTTCAGTGATTCACTTTATCTAGTTCGAATGGAAGGTGGATCTCAATTAAACAGAGATAAAATCGTTAAAATGAGAGCAGTCTAGGTATGTGGGCGGAGCTAGTACTTGATAAGATAAGACTGATTTTGGTATATGACATATCCTCTAAGAAAACAAAGGGTGGGTGGGCGGGGCTAAAACTTGCTAAGATAGAACTGAACAATATTTAGAGTAGTCACTGGAATCAAGAGGGGGTGGGTGGGCGGGGCTATTTCTTACTTATAAAAGACTGCAGAAAAAAGTTAAACTTAGCCCCGTCCACCCACCCGTTCTGATATTTTTTTCTTCAGAAATAATAAATAAATTTTAAGCAAAAAGTATATAAAAAAATACGATTAGCGCTTTTTTTAACAGCCTACTTTATATTAGTTCCCATTCGTGCTCTACCAAAGAACATACAATTAACCCCGCCCACCCACCTCATCTCCATTTCAGTGATTCATTTTATCTAGTTCGAGTGAAAGGTGGATCTCAATTGAACAGAGATAAAATCGTTAGAATGAGAGAAGTGTAGGTATGTGGGCGGGGCTAGTACTTGATACGATAAGACTGATTTTAATATATGACATATCCTCGAAGAAAATAACGGGTGGGTGGGCGGGGCTAAAACTTGCTAAGATAGAACTAAGCAATATTTAGAGTAGTCACTGGAATGAAGAGGGGGCGGGTGGGCGGTGCTACTTCTTGCTTGTAAAAGACAGCAGGAAAAAGTAAAACTTAGCCCCGCCCACCCACCCCTTCTCTCATTTTTTTCTTCAGAAATAATAAATAAATCTTAAGCAAAAAGTATATAAAACAAATTACGATTAGCGCTTTTTTTAACAGCCTACTTTCTATTAGTTCCCATTCGCACTCTACCAAAGAACATACAATTAACCCCGCCCACCCACCTCATCTCCATTTCAGTGATTCATTTTATCTAGTTCGATTGAAAGGTGGATCTCAATTGAACAGAGATAAAATCGTTAGAATGAGAGCAGTGTAGGTATGTGGGCGGGGCTAGTACTTGATACGATAAGACTGATTTTAATATATGACATATCCTCGAAGAAAATAACGGGTGGGTGGGCGGGGCTAAAACTTGCTAAGATAGAACTGAACAATATTTAGAATAGTCACTGGAATGAAGAGGGGGTGAGTGGGCGGGGCTATTTCTTACTTATAAAAGACTGCAGGAAAAAGTAAAACTTAGCCCCGCCCACCCACCCCTTCTCTCATTTTTTTCTTCAGAAATAATAAATAAATCTTAAGCAAAAAGTATATAAAACAAATTACGATTAGCGCTTTTTTTAACAGCCTACTTTCTATTAGTTCCCATTCGCACTCTACCAAAGAACATACAATTAACCCCGCCCACCCACCTCATGTCCATTTCAGTGATTCATTTTATCTAGTTCGATTGAAAGGTGGATCTCAATTGAACAGAGATAAAATCGTTAAAATGAGAGCAGTCAAGGTATGTGGGAGGGGCTAGTACTTGATACGATAAGACTGATTTTGGTATATGACATATCCTCGAAGAAAATAACGGGTGGGTGGGCGGGGCTAAAACTTGCTAAGATAAAACTGAACAATATTTAGAGTAGCCACTGGAATGAAGTGGGGGTGGGTGGGCGGGGCTATTTCTTACTTATAAAAGGCTGCAGGAAAAAGTTAATTTTAGCCCCGCCCACCCACCCGTTCTGTTATTTTTTTCTTCAGAAATAACAAATAAATCTTAAGCAAAAAGTATATAAAACAAATTACGATTAGCGCTTTTTTTAACAGCCTACTTTCTACTAGTTCCCATTCGCACTCTACCAAAGAACATACAATTAACCCCGCCCACCCACCCCATCTCCATTTCAGTGATTCATTTTATCTAGTTCGTAGCAAAGGTGGATCTCAATTGAACAGAGATAAAATCGTTAGAATGAGAGCAGTGTAGGTATGTGGGCGGGGCTAGTACTTGATACGATAAGACTGATTTTGGTATATAACATATCCTCGAAGAAAAGAACGGGTGGGCAGGCGGGGCTAAAACTTGCTAAGATAGAACTGAACAATATTTAGAGTAGTCACTGGAATGAAGAGGGGGCGGGTGGGCGGGGCTACTTCTTGCTTGTAAAAGACAGCAGGAAAAAGTAAAACTTAGCCCCGCCCACCCACCCCCTCTCTCATTTTTTTCTTCAGAAATAATAAATAAATCTTAAGCAAAAAGTATATAAAACAAATTACGATTAGCGCTTTTTTAACAGCCTACTTTCTATTAGTTCCCATTCGCACTCTACCAAAGAACATACAATTAACCCCGCCCACCCACCTCATCTCCATTTCAGTGATTCATTTTATCTAGTTCGATTGAAAGGTGGATCTCAATTGAACAGAGATAAAATCGTTAGAATGAGAGCAGTGTAGGTATGTGGGCGGGGCTAGTACTTGATACGATAAGACTGATTTTAATATATGACATATCCTCGAAGAAAATAACGGGTGGGTGGGCGGGGCTAAAACTTGCTAAGATAGAACTGAACAATATTTAGAATAGTCACTGGAATGAAGAGGGGGTGAGTGGGCGGGGCTATTTCTTACTTATAAAAGACTGCAGGAAAAAGTTAAAATTAGCCCCGTCCATCCACCCGTTCCTCATTTTTTTTTCTTCTGCTATAAGAAATATCTTACAGCAAATAGTATATAATGAAAAAAGTACTGTTAGTACTTTGGTTTCTTTTTTCAACAGCCTAAGTTTTCTTAGTTTCCATTCCCACTCTACGTAGGAATATATAATTAACTCCGCCCACCCACCCTGCCTCCATTTCAGTGATATATATTTTATCTAATCTGAATGAAAGGTGGATCTTGGATAAGACTTATTTTGGTAAATGACTTACCCTTCAAGAAAATAAAGGGTGGGTGGGCGGGGCTAGTATTTGTTAAGATAAGACTGATTGTGGAAAAGAACATAACCTCTAACAAATTGAAGGGTGGGTGGGCGGGGCCAGTACTTTCTAAGATAAGACTAATTTTGGCTTATATTTTGCCCTTTCTTCTTAATATACGTAGTCTTCTTTTCACAATAAGAAACTTAAACATGTTCAAAATTTTTGTAGGGA